CTCTCTCTCTCTCTCTCTCTCTCCCTCTCTCTCTCTCTCTCTCTCTCTCTATCTCTGTCTATTTGTCTCTCTGTAGGTATATGTATGCGACCGCAAACGTCTAGGTTGGTGAGAGCATGAGGCTAGTAGGAATGCGCATATTGCGCAATTAGGCATACCTAGGACGTCGACGCATCCCAGCTGGCTCAACATGGGCTGCGCGTTGATTTGGCACATGTAGCAACCTCGATCGGCTTTCCTGAGTTGGCGAATATGCAGGCTCCAAGTGGCCTCCTCGTCCTCTCTCGAACGAGTCTGATTCTTTGCCTTGGCCTTTTCGACGTTTACTTGGAAACGGGCTGAATGGGTCACCGTTCGCTGACCCATCGACAATATTGTCTGATCCTCCACTCGTAGCCATCCCACCTAAACATACGTAACACTTTTATTTATCATCAAATCTCTCTTCATCTTACATTTTATTTCCATCAAGTGGATCAAGAAAGTTCATAGAAATTTATGCCCGAAAATGATCAAAGTCCAAAGACTTTTCTTTTTTTTGCAGAGCATTCGTCGAAGTAAACACGACTATCGAAATTATTTCGAATATATTATATAATTTGATTCTTCGATAAAGCATATCGGGACCTTAGTTTATACGAACTTTCTTCACTTACGAAATCTAATTAATATGCAATATAAGTTTGATACTGACCACTTCGCGAACATCTTGTCGATATGCATGAGCTTTAGCTTAATTCTGAGTTATAATGCAAATGAAATAAAATAGCAAAAGTATTAGCTTGGACCTAGAAAGAGAAGGATGTAAATAGAAATAGAAATAGATGGAGTGTTTTATCGAATAGGATTACGAGGAAATCCATCAAATCCCGAGTTGTCGATACGAAAGTCGTCGTTGAAAAGTAGATCATGGATAAAATCTAATCTTATTTTAGAAAGGAAGAAAGAAAGATAGTACAGTAAGGCAAAGCATACAAAATATAAAGGCTCTTTGCATTCATAGTAATGCCGAGGAATTACTAGCAATGACTGATTTCCGGCTTTGACGGTAACATATATATACGTTTAAGTTAAATCGAGTCTTGGAAAAGGGGATCGAACTCTTTGCTTGCTTTGAATTTCTATGATTAAAGGAACTTAATAATCGATCCCTTCTCGTACCTATGTATGTGTGTTTGTTCAAAGAAGATAGATAGTTCGGAGAAGTTCATATCGGAGAAGTTTATCGAATCTCGAGAGACTTCTCCGCTAACGTTTTGTTCCACCATCATAAAGAAAATTAAGAAGAAAAAGAAAATGATAGAAATAAAAAGAAGGGGAGATGTTACAAAGAGAAAGGACGATAGACAGACGGACAGAGGCAAATAAATAGATCTAAAGAAAAGGATAGAGAGATAGATAGTTAGACAAATAGATAGAAATAGAGTAAAAGGTAAAGAAGGAAGAAGGGTATCGGGCAAATATCGAAGTACTACAAGCACGAAACCATTAGCAAAGTATCCATAGACGTTTCGAAGGACGCGAACACGTCTATAAAGTTTCTTACGAAAGCGTTCTCTTCTTCTCTTTCTATTTGCCTTCCGCTTACCCTTCGCTCGAAAGAACGTCTCGCCTTCGAACAACGCCCCCCCCCCCATCCCCACATTCCCTTTTCTCTCTTGACGTCTCGACGGAATACGACACCCACACCAACTTCCTCTCTTTCTCCTTTAGGATAGATCTATCTAGATGTACGCGTTTAGATTAACGAATGATATCCTAAAAACAAAATCCTACGATAGGAAGAGATAAAAGAACAACAAGAAGAATGATCTTTATTTATTTATATCACTTTACCCCCTCTGTGTTATTTCTCTTATATTTCATTTATACGAAATTTCTCCAAATACCCCTCTATAATTCTCTAATTCTGTTTTATCTCTGCTGGAAAGGCATTGTATAACTTCACACCTTCATAAGACAGACTCTTTTGTATACTTTTTCTTCTATTCAATTCTATAGCAATATTCTCAGACTGCGTCTAGTGCATTCACCGCTCGCATTTCCTGTTATTTTCATTCCTATTATTAAATTGTTTTACGAACATTCCTTAAACTATCTTCAAAATAAAAGTATATACATTATAATATAGTCCCTATTTTACATTACGTTCATAAGTTTCAAATTCCATTACGTTCATAAATTGCAATGGGAGAAAGAGGGAGTAGGAGTAAGAATGAGTAAGAGAGTAGGAAAGTTAAATAGTTAGATATGTAGAGAGAGAGAGACAGAGAGAGTTTTCTCAAAACGGGTACTTTCAGACTCCTAAATTAGAGATTTTTTCGACGAAATTGACCTAAAATAAAAGCTACGTATCAGAGGTAAATACTATACTTGTTAAATATTCGTTTGGAAATTTTGTTACTTTTCTTATTGTTATATTTTGTGCATCGATTAATAATTTGATCGAAATAATGACAAAATAGGAAAAATAGAGTTATCCAAAAAAAAAATAGAAAATTTAACACGTTAAAATTAGTGTTTCATTTTATTTCTCTATTAAAACTAACAGAAAAACTGTCTTTGATATTCGTAAAGAATGCGTTATGTACACATTACAATATTAAATAATCATAATAATTTGTGTGTTCATTTTAATCAATAGGAAGAAATGATATACTCTACATATTGGATTGAGAAAAAGGTTTGTTCGTATCTTTTGGTAGATTGCTTTAGGATTGCATAAGTCTGGTAATATTAATTGTATTTGATAATATTAGATTGACAAAAATGGAAAAAGAAAAAATCCAAAAGATAACTTTCCACTTTTCATTTGAGATCGATTTCATCGAAAATCCCAGGTCTCTCTCGGAGATCCGAGACACCTTACGTGTCAGTCAGGTATACTAGACAACCTCGGTGTATGAGATGGTTTCTCGTCGTAATATTATATCGCGAAAATCATCTCCCTTCTCTGTTACTCGTGCATGCGCACACACATATACGTATGTGCAACCGGTAATTGCTTTTAGGTGAGAACACTTCCACTACCACCAACGTCGACATCACCAATACCACTGCTAGGATAGCTGTATCCCTCCCAATAACGAAGCAACGGCAGTGCCAGGTTGGGAATCAAGCCCGACGAAAGGTTCAATTTAACGTCGTATCGTTTGCCACTGTTATCTATGATGGTGCACTTGGTAATTAATCTCTAGTCGGGACCATCCCTTCCCCTTCTAACACTTTCTCGCTCGCTCTCTTCATATACACACGCGCATATGCACAGAGGTGTTACCTAAACCGAATGAGACGCGCATCGTCATCATCATTGTCATTGTCGACGTGCAATTCACGATCAAGCTTCATCCTAGAATCTCTCTCTATTCTCTATTTGGGGGAACAAAAGAAAGAGAAGATATTTACCCCTGCCTTTTCACTTTTTATTATTATAATATAACAAATGAACAATTGTGTGTCATAACGATCTACGACGATGAAAATAGTTAGAAGAAAGACAGAAGAAAGTAAAAGGAAAAAAGTGTGAGTTTTTAATTTGAAGAAAGCGATAGCACTTAGCGTTATAATCGTGCTAGGTACGTGCTTTTAGCCGGTTAACAGAAACGCCAGCTGTGAAGTATCTACTTTCTTGCCTGGTAGTTTCCGTTCAAAGTGCTTGCTTTCGAGACATTAACATGTGAGATACAGTGTCTTTACGAATTACGTTCTCCTCTCCTTTCCGTCATTCATGCCCATTGCTTTTCTTCTTTTACGAATAATAAAATGACATGGAAATAATGTTAATACTTTAACAATAATCAAATCCTTTTTATCAAAGCCAAAAAGAAAAGAAGAAATTCTTAGGGTTGCGAAGGGAGGGATAAAGTATTGGTCGATGACGATGGGCGGGGGGGATAAAATTTGGTTGGTAACAGTTAAGGGACAACTCTGATTCTCGACGCCGTACCCAAAGCCAGGAAATTCCCCGGTGGGCAGCTCGTTCCCAGCATATACCACCACGATTCTTCAGGCCCCCAAAACTCCCCTGTCTGTAATATTTCGAGAGTCCTAGGGCCACGAATCTACGTTAGCGCTAAGAGATTGCTCTCTCCCCATACCTTGCTCTTCCTCTTCCGTTCCATTGTAATCATGGAAACAATCATTCTTCTCTCTCCCTATCTCTCCCCCTATCTGTCCCCCTATCTTCACGTCTCTATCGCGTCGGGGAGGAGGGGTGGAGGTGGGAGGACGTCGACGACAGCCGAGAATGGCCGACGATGCCATGCCAAGCCAAGCCAAGCCAAGCCAAGCCAAGCCAAGGCTGCTGCTACCCTTTCGCTCGCCTTCATACCAATCACCGATTTGTCTGAATAAGCCTCCGGCAAGTATATGCTCGTGGAAACACCAGCTCGAACTTTCTCATCCCCCGAATCCCCACTCTGAGCAATCTCAAAGCTGCCAGAGTCTACCTACCTACCTACCTACCCACCTACCTACCTACCTACCTAGTACTATTACTATTGCAACATCACCGAAAATACTAACGTTTGTCGATTCTAGCCGCAATGGAAGTGCAAAGTCGCGTGGGGGGCTGTTGGCGGTAGAGAAGATGTATGAGAGATCAAAATGGGTGGTTGCTCGGTTCGGAGACGGCTGGCTGCCCTCCCGACGTTAGCCGGAGACAGATTCGCATCGATAAACGCGACTATATTCTCCATATAAAAAGAATGTGCATCTATTTGTTTTTCTCTTTTTCTACGAGCGAGCACTCGTCGAGCATTTAACGAACGCTGAAGAGTGCTATTGTTACTTTTTCCCTCTTTTTTCTCCCTCTCCCTCTCCTTGTATTCTTTACCTATCTTTCGTTTACAATAAGATCGGCGAGCCGTTTATAATGTGTCTTTAATCGTGCTACATTTAATGGGCTTCTTTTTTTTCCATCATCGATCAACTATCGTATTGGATTCAATCGGATTTATATCCGATTTTATGGGATTACTCTTGCTTTTTTTTTTTTCAATATTCAATTAAAAACAATAACTAACAATAAGCTTTCGAGCGGACACCAGGTGAATCCGAATGAAGTTAGTTTGGATGTTCGTAATCTAGATTAAACTGATCCATTGCTAATAATATCATCGTAGTTTGGAGGAGATAGTTAACTAACAGATAGTTGGATAAATTTTAGGTACATACGTCTTTGCCGTTGTTAGAATGTGCTACGTTTCGTTTACCTTTCCCGTTCGGCCAACGTAACCCTTAATGGATTTCGCTTTGCAAATAGCATTCGTTCTCTTTCGCTGATTCAATCGCGATCAATCGAGCTACGATGCGTCAACGTTTCAAATGTTCATCAATTGGCTTTTTCTACGGTGTCGAAATAAAATAATAATTACAAAAAGTTGGCCGTTCCTCGTTGACTGAGCAAATTCAAACAATTTACTCTTTTTTACTTTATTATATATATATATATATATATATATATGTTTATTTCACACATTTAGTTTAGTAAAAACGAACAGTAAAATTTGTTTTTACGCAAAATCACGAGCAATAGCCATTGTTATCGTTGCATACGATTTAGTACGAACTCGAATATTTATTCGATTTCTTTGGTACATTAAGAATAACTCAAATACCATTAGGAATATATTTCCAATATGTACGGAAAGATCAAAAGAACTTTGAAAAATATTTTTAATGGTGGATAGAATTCTTATTCCATTCCCTATCCATAAGAAATACAGAAAGATAGAGATAGAAATATAAAGGAGGCTCCTGGTATCGATTGTACAAACCAAAAAAGTTGTTCATTTCTCCTAAAAACAAATATCGAAAGGATGAAATAAATGTGTACACGTAAAACAACCCTTTGTGTTTTGTCAAAAATAAGAATGCAATAATCTGTTTTTCTATTCATCTAACTAAAATGAATTTTGTTTTTCCGAGTCTTAGTTACGGAGAAAATCGACTTTGAACTTTGAATATTCTCCGAGCACATGTTTACTGTGTACCGTGTGTCCTGTGCAACCACAGCAGTGTGTGGTTAACCGGATCTTGAAACAAACCACGCGTGTCGTTTACTAATAGCATTAATGCCATGCGCAATGCATTCGTTATCAGTATTATACGTGGTATATGTATTACTATCTTTGTCTATTTATAAATGAAGAAAAGAGATACTCGAGGATAGGTATGCGAATCGCATAGAAGACAAATAGAAAGGATTCCATTCCGCAGGATTCGATGAAATCTTTAAGGACGATTATATTCAAAGAGAAAGGGAAAGACGATAAACGAATAAAAGGAGACACCAACGTGTCTCTCGATCCTGAATGATATTCGATCCTCAATCTCGAGAATCGGATAGGTTGGCTCTATATTGAACTAGTTGTTCACCTTCTGGCCATCGAAAATCGGTCATTGGAATTCGAAGCTAACTGTTCAGGAGAATGGATGTCTTCTCGATTCAACGAACGAACCAACCAACGAATAAGGTGGGCTGGAGCTGATGTCGGGGTTGCGTCAGGGTTAAAGGTAGGGAACAGAAATTCGACAAACAAAAGCTGGGATTATTCGTGTTAACGCTTCTAGTTTCTCTATAGTTGTTTATGGCTTGATATTAATATTATTTAGTTATGTATATGACTATACAGGGCTGATATAGATAGGGTTCTTGGACTCTATTCAATAAATCGAATATATTATTTCGGTTAGCGAGCTCGTTTGTTGCGTCAATCGAATTTCAATGATTGCATATTAAAGGATAGATTTGTATTATAGGGTTGGATCATTTTGATATTAATAATAACGACCATAAAGAGTTTTCCTAAATAGCGATTGGTTTTTTCCTTTTCATACGTTTCCATATAATTGAACACCCTTGTTAATATTCATTGTATTAATCATCTTTTTTATATAGGATTTAGAGTTATGGAAAGAGTATGACGGAGGGGATAACAATAACGATATTAAATATTTCGAGGAAAATTTCATAAATGTAACCAACTCGTATATATATATCTATACATGGTGGCTCGTTATTGTAAATTGTATCGGATAGCTCGGTATCTCGACAAAATGTTCTCGAAGAAGGAGCCAAATTTCACGGTGTTCCACCTTTGAAGTTGATCTTAGGTATACCCGTAAAAAATTTGTTTGGAGGATAAATACTGTGCTTGTATAACTCGATTCGAAACGATACACCCTGTAGACGGATAGAACGGATGATCTCGAATGTCGGCCATAAAACGCGTATTACTGGTACGCGTATCACTGGTACGCGTATTACTGGTACGCGTATCACTGGTACGCATTGCAACGGAAGAGTTTTCGTGGAATGGCGATGTGCGCAACGAAATTCGTTGTCATCCAATTTCTATTCCGTTCGTGCGAGATATTCATCGTGAGTGCGTTAACAGTGGCGTACGTAAAATAAATCTAAAAAGTCCAGCGGCGCGTATCCTACCGACGAGTAGGAATATTTAAATGCGAATCGATTCCATGATCGATTCCCATGGCTTAATTCGGGGCTATGTTGTAGTAGGCGTCAAATTGTCTACGAGAACGATCTATCTCGGTTTCGGAATGTACGCCTCGAACACAGCTGGGGTAGCTCCGACACTTCCTCCTCTTCTTCCGTTCCCGCGAACGACGTCAGGTTTAATAATAATCGAAATAATCTAGACAAAAGGTAGGAAATTACATTTCCATCGTAAGCGGCCGTGCGGATAAATTCGTTAGGAGCTCTACCTATGTTCCCTGTCTCTCTCGTAATGAACACACACATCGTTGAAGAGAATGACGGAACTTCAGCGAGCAAGCAAATGAAATAGTTGAAGAGAGGGAGAAAGATAACTCGCTGTGGACGTTTTTCAATTTCGTCGCTGTCAAACGGATTGGTTCGATGGAAGTACAAGCAGGTAAATCGAAATAAAAGCAAAAATAGGGAACGATTCGACTTTTAGTATCGATTGATCGGTCGTTTAGCCAACTCCAAACTTGCATTCTATGTTCGTTCGTTGGTTGGTTCGTTCGTTCGTTGGTTGGTTCGTTCGTTCGTTCGTTCGTTCGTTCGTTCGAATTCCTACAGGCAAACGCGAAATGACAGTTTTAATATCCTCCGAGGATAAACATTTATACGTGCCACCAGCAGGTGGTTGCGGCCAATCGAATGTGTATGCATAAGCGTTGAAAACAAATCGTGTTATTCGGCTTAATTGCTGGTACGTGCTATTTATCAACGTTCTTTACATTAGTTTTGCCCTTTTTTTTACTTTATATTTCTTTCCTTTATTCCCCCATTTTATACTAAAAACGTGGCAAGAGGAACGTTTGTTTTCTTCCTTTTCGTTTGTAATTTAGTAAACTTGTTTTGTTGCAAGTCTAATTGTTATATTAGAGTTTCCCGGCAACTCTGCATATATAAATAAATGTGCGTGTAAAAGACAAATTCGAAATAAGGAAAATATCTATATTAGTTTTGCTAACTTTTCGTGTTATCAAAATATTATTTAATAAATACGGCAGAATGAATAATGTAAGTTGCAAGTTAGGTTCTAGGAATAAAAAATATGAGACGAAGGGAGGAAGGAAAAAACGTTTGACTTTATAAGCGACCGGAAGTAAACGACGAGGGTAACGTACCGGAAGGGAAAGTTTACGAGGAGCGAAAGAAGAAAGTGAGGTTCCCGTTGGCATAACCGAAAGAGAATCGGTCTTGATATCTTTTCCAAGTTAGGGAAGGGAGAAAAAAGTGTCCATTGTAAAAGCGTAGAAGCTCGGGTAGAAGCTCGGGTAGAAGCTCGGGTAGAAGCTCGGATAGAAGCTCGCGAAGAACAAACTGAATACCACTTTCGGCGGTGGTATTGTCCGAGGATAAAAGCTGCGGGAGCTGGTTTTGCTTTTACAATTAAATGCGCCGGAATGAGACTCGACGAAGCCGTTTCAAGTCCACTTGGATATCCTGATTACCATCAGAAAGAGAGAATATTTTCATATTTCAATGTATACGTTTAATATGTATTGCTCCTATTATGCTAACCGCTAACTTTTATAGTACGTTACTTTTTGCCGCGTGTTCGTTTTTCCTTTTCAATAGCCATTTCTAAATTACAAATAGTCTACTGTTTTCTATATTATTCGCGTCTTTTTGACGATCTCGATCGAAAGGCATTTTCCTGCATCCTTGGGTTTCTTATTTTCACCCTCTATCGCGAATTCTTATTTATTTAGAAATGTTCTTCCAAGATCTCCATTTTATTTAGCAGAAATTGAGTTTGCCAAAGTTATTCAGCTTGCTTTCGAAACGATCAAAAGTCGTCGAAGAAATCTTTGTTCCTTGGAAATATTCTCTATCAATCTCTTTCCTTTCACTCGGGGGGAAAAAAAAAAAAAAAAGAAAAGAGAACGAATTGGGATAAGAAAAGAGATGACGAATTCAGCGGCACGGTTTCCGTTTTCCCTTCTCGTTTCCTCTTCTCGTTTCCCGGTTAAACGCGTTGCTAGATAAACTAGAAAACACCTTTCCACTTTGTTTTATTTCATTTTTTTCTCTCATAGCAAAAGTCAGGAAAAATGAAGCGACTACGAAACAAGCGACTCTGAAAATATATATTTTGATACTTCTGTTGTCCCTACTTAAATTAAAAACTGCATAACGATGTAAATACAATATGATTTTTGAAGGTTTTAATGGCCGAAATCCAAATTTCAAATCGCACCGTCCTCGCGTTTAATTAAAACCAGGACGAGGATTTCCTTCGAAGAATCTATTTTTTCTTCTTCAAATCCAATAATCCCACCTTGGGTCGAATCGTTTGTTCCAACTTACCTTGTAATTACCCAGTTTCCGGATCGTGCAAGATAGGATTGCTTCTTTGCCGATCGCTGCGGTCACGTTACCGATCGCTTCTGAAAAACTTGGGGCATCTGAAAAATACAAATTCAACCGTATTTCAATATTTGATACAACATTTATACTAAAGGATTCTTGTGTCCGCGTAAAGTATAATTCGACAGGTACCGCCGACGACTTCGTAGCGCGTAGCGATGTTGATTTTCGAGCTTTCGCGAACACGGTAGATCTAGTTTGCATTTCTATGGAGAGATTACAGCGTGAATTTCGTAGTATAAATCAACATCGATCGATGTCTTCGTCTTCTCGTTAGAGACCGTTTAAATTATCTACGATGAAAAGGACCACTTACAACTTCTAACGTACTTTTTTCCCAACCCGTAGGAAATATAGAAAATATTGTTAATTTGTCAATAATTTATTTTTCATCTTAACGACCGCAACACCCTATAACATCTCGTCCATCAAGCGACAAATGTCGTCCCAATCCACGTCTAATTTTAATCTTACACGGATACATCATGTCAATGTACACTATAAACAAAGTCTATCATCCCTTTTTATTTTTCGCTCATGGAAGCTTCGAAAATCCATCAAAAGCTAGTCATTTAGTTCTCGCTTTTCCGAGGGGACCATATTTCGACGGTATGTATCGGCTTCATCCATTAATGCCGGTGTAGTAGCTTCACGGTTGATAGGAAATCGAAGTTACGCATCGTTTGCGGGAAGCCTCGATATTATATGTGTCAAGCTGGTATTAAGTAATCGATGTCATTGTACTCCCTCTTCTCCCTTTCCCCGCAACACTGCCGCATCTTTTCTACATATACCGAAATATTCTAACCTGAAATATTTGTATTCCGCCATCAAAATGACTAACTTTTCATCCGAAAATAGTTACTACTTAATATTTACAAAAGAAAATCATTTATTAATAAGAAAACACCTATGTACATAGACTATTTCGAAGTATATACCTAATATGTATAAAATAGTATCGGGTACTCGAGGTATCGAAACGTTTTCGTGTAATATGCTAAACGTAATTACACTTTGGCAATCGTTGGATGAATTTAAGCGACGAAATGAAGTCGATCGAATTAATTGAATAAGAGGGCGAGAGAGGCTACAGCGGGGGTAAAAGAGAGAATCTCTCTTTATTTTAAAACCACCACAAGTTGAGTACGGTGCGAATCGATTCGTTGCTAACTCAAGATAAATATGGTTCAACTAAAAACAAGAAAAAAGGACGAGACCAAAAAAATGAATGACCAGGAGTGGAAGAAAAATAAAGATACGTTTCTATTGAACGAATGGATCGAACGATGTTTATTCTCGTTTATTGGAAACATGGAAAACCATTCGGAATGTTTCACCTGGATTAGTCAATTTGTTTGTTACGATGATATAGTCAAGTATTTTTTAAATAATATCTATTTTCTATTAGAAATGATAAGATACGAAAAATCCATGATTTTTTCAATCTAAACAGTTATTACGTTTAACGTTTCAAACAAATTCTGAAATATGGATAGAAATGAACCGGCAATAATATGAAAGATAACATTTTATCGTGTATTAATATTACAAAACAGGAAAATATCAAACTAACTTCAAATGAAACCTGAATAAGAAGTAACAGACAAAGTATAATATACCTCTCTTATGCATAACTTTGCTCTTCTTTACTTGAAATCAGCTTTACAAGAAGAAACAATATGGAAATAGAAAGAGAGAGAGATGAAAATAGTGATAAAGATAGAAACAGTAAGAAATAGAGATAGAGAAACAAATTTCTAAGTCGATTAAAAGTCAAGAATATAACAAATTCCGTAGAGACAAAAGAAACTAAAGAAATCAGCGAACGCAACGAGCAAAGGAAAAGACAAAGAGAAAGAAAAAGAGAGTATGAACAGAATTCAAGCTCTTTTTCACGTGTGCCAATATCGAATTTCGAAGTTAAACTTTCCAAGTCGATAGAATATCCAAGGAAAAAGAGCGCGCGAGAGAGAGAGAGAGAGAGAGAGAGAGAGAGAGAGAGAGAGAGAGAGAGAGAAACACAATATAAAAATAAAAAAGAGAGGCTGGAAAGGGTTGTATCGTCGAAGTGTAAAAAGAGCTGAGACTGCAGCTGTGTACTAGAGCAATGCAACGAGATATCCGACAGATACGTCAAAACTACTTATACAAGCCACTGGTGTGGAAACAGTTGCTACATAACGTTACAAGGAGAAAGGGTAAGGGCATGAAAGTTAGAAAATTAGAATGAGAGAGAGAGAGAGAGAGAGAGAAAATAGTTGGGTCCGAGTAGTGTTCTCGGTAAAAGGTCCCAAGGAAACAACGTTTCAGGTATTATGATAAGATATTCACTGACAGAAATAGCCCAGGGCTTCGAACAGAGAGAGAGAGTACAAGAGTAGAATTTTCAGTTTCCGCATCTTCCTATCTAGCATGTTATATAAGGAAACGGGGAGGAAAATAGGGGATCCAATGAGCTTCGAGTTTTCCTCTTGGAGTGAGAAAAATATAGAAAATTTTGGTAAAAAGACGTCCCCGGTAAAAGTACGAGCCTACAAACCCCGTTATATACCTTTTTATTTTATGGCTAAATTATTCGAGAGAAGAAAAATAATTCAATCTTAACGTTCGTTGCTGGTGCTGCTGCTACCGATGGCGGAATAGTACTATAGAACCTTTTGCGGCTACTCCCTGACCGAAAATATTTCAGAATTATATATATGGATTGAAGGTGGTTCCCTTTTATTGGACCACCTTTAACAATTTCTACGATGCATCCATGTGATGTAGAAAATATTGAATTATTTGAAATTTGAAGATTATTGCATTTGGGATGGTCCAATGAAATTATTCATATATATCAAATATTATTTGTTGTATTAAATGTGTATATATACGTATACACACAATATCTTTAACCACGTTTCACTTTTACCGAACCACTGGTTCCGTTAAAATTAGCGGAAATGCACGGTCCGCTACTTTTTGAGATCCGAGAGAACTCGAGAAAATGCGATAAGAGAGAGAAATTCTCTCTCATTCTCTTGAATATGAAATCGTCGAGCAATTTAGCTGAAAGAGAGAAGACGAAGAATGCAAAAATTCGACTGATTTCAACAAAAGAATCACCGGGTATAAAAGTTTCTTTCTATCGTCTAAATAGAAATTTGTGTAAGGTATATCTGTATAGTATAGACGATTTAACAAGATCGTTTGAATAAATTAGCTTTGTGGCGATGATGGGATAAAACTTGACTCCTTTCTTCTCTTAACTTTTCTTTTCTATTTTTTTTGCAACATTTTATGATAATCATATTTATTCATCACTAAGCATTTTGACTTATTTCATTTCACCAATTAGAACTATCATCGGTCATCCAATAAACGACGTTTTCAAACCCAAATTAGATAGGATTAAGTGTTACGTTTCTATTTATATTTCAACGAACAGTCAAGATCGGTTTCCAAGATATACTTTTCATTTTCTTTTATTATTATATTTTTCTCTTGGTTTATTCCATTTTCTTTTTGTCCAGATGAGGAGGAAGCTGCAACGAAGCAGAAGAAGAAGAAGAAGAAGAAGAAGAAGAAGAAATAAGAAAAGAAACTGAATAGGAAAGCAAAAGAGCGAATGTAACACGAAATCGCGACGCCATACGGACGTTCTCATACTCTCTTTACCGAAAATACATTTTACGGCTTTTTCTATACGCGTATTTGTGTCTCAGTATATAGATATTTGTTTAAAGGTGTAGGTGCATATACAGGGTGACTCTCTCATAACTTTCCAATTGTACATCCAACGGGAAATAGTTGGTCTTAAATGATGCAAACGGTTCGTCGACTTTGTTTTTTTTTTTCAAATAGAATTGTATAATTATCATTACTAATATATATATATATATATATACAAGTATTTATTTATATTGGTCCTAAATGGAATATTTAAGCGAGCATATAGAGCGATTGTGAAAATGGAGAAATTTCATTGTAGAAGTTCGAATTCATTTTCGCGTTTGAATTCTTTGAAAAATATGCAATTAATAATTTGGTTTGTGGTGTTGAAGTAATGCGAGTCACCCTATATATGTATAATACGTATATATAAGAAGGAGAAGTACTCTTTTCCGCGTGGCGGCTCTCGACAAATTGCCTTCTTATTTCGGCAACGATTCTCTACTGTTGAAAAATACAACCAAAAATATCTCGAGACTACGTTGTTCATGGGGAAAGCTAGGTGTGTTCGCGAAAATAAATTCAAGAGTGTGACGTCAGCTGGAAAAATATCTTTCAGTTATAAATGAGAGATAGTAGCAGCAGTAAAAGGGCGAAAGTGAGTATACGTATGTTCCTTCTTTCTTCTATTCTTATTTTATTTCATTTAAGTATTTATTTACAAATATGTATAGGTATGTTTCAACGAAAGACGAATTAAATTGACAAAAGTTTGCGAAGAAAACTATTAACGAGATTGAAGCGAAAATTCAAAGGAAAATTCTAATGTAAATGTAATTGTGACTGGATAATAATGATTTAAGAATGATTTTATTAACAATCGACTATGCCAAGATAGGAGAAGAAAAATCTTACGCGATTGGATATGTGTCTCGAGCTTTATCTAATTTCATAAAATTACCCAGAATTGAACATTAATATCGGAAAGTCTTGGTAATTGGGATTTTCCATAGAGAAAGAGTTCCTTAATAAAGTTTCTAATTAGTACGCGAAGGAATAGAGTTAACTTTCAAAGATAAGAAGTCGAATTTAGAAACACTTCATTTAAATTATCAGGCAACAACAAAAAGACTTTATTTATTTTTTTTTCGTTATATGCCAAAATAGGAATAAACAAAATAAATCCAATAATATATCGAAAATATACTATTAATTGAAATCGAGCATAATCCAGCACAATCGAGAATGTCTTTTTTCCTTTTTCCGCAAAATTGCGGTTACTTCGTCGTTGAAAATATTTCTTTCCCTCTCCCTCGTTGTGTTGCTCTCTTTCTGAACAAGAGATAAAGTTTGTATAGAGCAACGCAGTTGGCAATTTAGG